CATGATACGGGACCATTCGGGACAGTGCCCGGTCCAATACTTAGAGAATATTGGACCAGAAATAGAGCATTTTGATTGGTTGATTTTAGTTATTGGCCCTCTGACTGCCCGAGTCGTGTAATAATTAGAGAGTGACCACCCTTTCATTGTTTATCAGAGATTGTTTTGGGGTCCTAGGGTAATTTCCAAGTGAGTGTCAAAGCTGATTCTACTCACTCCCACAACCAATCCGATTCCAAACTAAAGTCAATCACGAACTATCAACTATCTTTTCCAACACTACAGGCACTTTGCTTCCTTTTTTCGTGGAGTTTTGATTGGTTCCTCATCAGATTTTTCTCTACTGTGATTTGTCGTTGTGTTGATTTTAGTTATTGTTGTATGACACTATCGAAAAAAGACTTTATACCAGAGTTTTTGCAAAATGCTAGCAGCTCACGTAACCTTTAACCCGAATCTCAAGATGTGAGAACTAAATAAACAACGATACAATTCTTTTTTTGCCTTTTCCTTATGATATGTCGTTCCACCCAGACATTACCCTCTTTCAACGTGGTGTATGCAATTTGTTAAGACAGTCTTAATATTGAATGCTCCCGGGAGTCGTAAGCTTAAAGAAGTAGATGTATAAAAATCAAGCAAACTGAAGTTTAAAGCGACTTGGTTTTCAGGTCGTAGACATGAGGTCCTTGATCAAGGAAGAAGATGAAGTTCCATCTCCACTGTTGGAAAACACTCAAAAAGAGACTGACTTCTTACCCAGATATCACGTGATGGGACCAATTAATAGTATTTACTCAGAGTTGGTGATAAGCAGAATGTGCAGTTGAATTATTATATATTTTGTTAATGTTGTACGTTTTGTTATTTCTTTTACAATACTAAATTGCAATAGTGATTATAGTAGGTAATGTTTAATTTTAACGGTAAAGCGCAATGACGAATACAGTAACCAGAATTCATTACTAAACAGAGACATTATCATCACCTACAACAATACACAGACGGCTTTTTTTAACATTTATAAAAGAAGATATTTTCTTAGAAACAAATTAAATCCATGTGGATTACTTTTTACACAAAAGAAAATGTCAATGGTATTTCAATTCATATCCTATGTACGTATTAATTATTACAAGAATCCAAATGAATTCCAGATCATTCAAGTTAAGAGTATTAATATTTATTATCAGTTGTTAATTCAATATAAATAGATCATATCGAATGGAATGTGCAATTATGAAATGACTGATAGACCCTATTATTTACTCAGAAGTATTTATATCGTTTCGAATAGATGATGTCAGAACATCGTCAGTGAGTCCTTGACCAAAATAAAGGGTGTGAAGCCGCGAAACGGAGCAGCGAGCCCGAATTTAGGGTACATCAATTACATGTCAATGAGGACAACAAACTTAGGTGCGGCTTTTGAAAACGTATGACTAGTTTATAATAAATAATAAATAATCTAGCAATGGACATTCCACTGGGTGGATTTTTTTGTCCACTGTTTCCAGATCGAATTGGAATTTCGAATGTTGGTTTTTGCGGAGGGAGGAAAACCGGAGGACCCGGAGAAAAACCCTCGGAGCAAGGACGAGAACCAACAACAAACTCAACCCACATGTGACGCCAGGTCCGGGAATCGAACCCGGGCCACAGTGGTGGGAGGCGAGTGCTCTCACCACTGCGCCATCCCTTCTCCCCTAGTCAGGTTTAGTGCTACACACGAGAGGTTCGACGTTTGAAACGGGTGTCAGGGAGTGATTAATGTCCAGGAACGACCGACTTTCTCACTAAACTGCGTTGATCACATGAAAATGAAACCATCTATTCACTTTCCTCATACACGTGCACTTATTTGGTAAACTAAAGAAACTTCTTCACTTAGAAACAGTGTGAAACAATTACTTGGGTTTGCTTGAGATTCTTCCCTGTGGAGGTTCGATGGTGTAGTGTAGAAAGCGCCAGGAAATATATCGTTTTTACCTCCGTTGATTTGAAACTGCCACTTGGTTGTACCAGTGTTCGCCACATTCCCTCCACACTATCACTCAACGTTGAATTTTCTCCCTTGAACTTCACCGTTGGCTGGGGAGAAGAGGACGTCTAAAAATCGAACGAGAACTCCGAAAGGACCATTCGAGAACGATCTGAATTATACCAAGTCTTTTTGCCACAAATTATAGTACTTAGATGGTTTCAGCTTCTAAACGTGTCTGTCTGACGTCGGTCCGACTGTGCCTGTGCTACAAGTATAGGCAATAACATGATTTCTCCTGCAATTTGGTGTTTATAAGCACGAGTAAATTTCTCAAAGAAAAATTGCATGAGCCCATGCTATTTGTAATTTTGTTTACTTACGTCAAATTGCACAAGAAATCGTGTTATTGCTTATCATTACACAGCCGGCAGCACCCGTGGGCAATATCAACTGAATCCTGTGTACTGATTGACTACCCGAGCGGGATCGCCCGCCCTGATTCCGCGCAAGGAAAATATTGCATGGAGCGGACTTCCGAAGTTCGTAACTTTTTTTTGGCGGCGATAGAGTCGCAAAACAGCGAAAAACAAAGGAAACATCAAACGATTCACATAGGTTTATTGTGTTACAAACACAGTTCGATTTCTTTCCGCGCTCTCGAAATAAACAAGTTATTCTTGGTTCTTTTTGTATCAAAATCATTTTTAGTTCTTCTTAACCTCTACTAACTATGTCTTAACCGAGCGGGAGGTCTGTATGGGAGAATTTTGACCGAGGTCGCCAGTACAGACCAAACTGCGTTCGGTCTGTACCAGCGACCGAGGTCAAGATTCTCCCATACAGACCAACCTAGCTCGGTTAATAAGATGTTTATTATATGGCTGTGTCTCATCTGCCACTTTTTTATATTCTTTGTACCTTTTTTTTTCTAGACTGGTCTAGATGCCGGTGTAGATGGGAAAATCTTGACCGCTTTCAATATTGCTTTCAGCCAATCAAATTCGTGAATTCGGTAGTTCCCAGTCCTTGTGAGACACAGCCATATAATAATGCTAATAAATCCTTTATTGACCAAGCTTGTTCGGTCAAGATGGCCTGATATTGGACTCGTTCTTTTCTTGCGTTTTTATGTACTTCGACTTTTTCTTGGTCCATAAAAACGCTTAAATTAACCCGGCTAATATCACATATATCCGAATGATGCACGATCCTTCACAGTAGAGAGCGCTATTTATGCAACAGCGAAAATCAGACCTGAAAAAAATCAGGCCTGTACGGGATTCGAACCACTGACCTCTGCGATACTAGTGCAGCGCTCTACCAATTGAGCTAACAAGCCAACTGGGAGCAGGCCGTTAAGTTGATTCGTAATAAACCCGTGATGATAAATCAGATACAATGAATATATGAAGTTCATATATTTTGAACTGCGGTATTAAATACGTATGATGCACGATCCTTCGCAGTAGATAGCGCTATTTATGCAATAGCGAAAATCAGACCTGAAAAAAATCAGGCCTGTACGGGATTCGAACCACTGACCTCTGCGATACTAGTGCAGCGCTCTACCAATTGAGCTAACAAGCCAACTGGGAGCAGGCCGTTAAGTTGATTCGTAATAAACCCGTGATGATAAATCAGATACGCATAAATAGCTCTCTCTACTGCAAGGATCGTGCATCAGTCGTATCTATAACCGCAGTTCAAAATATATGAACTTCATATATTCACCGTATTATATATGAACTTCATATATTCACCGTATCACATATATCGTTAGTCTGAATTTCAGCGTCTCTTCCCTTTACCCCAAGGGGGGCGCGGGAGAGAATCTCTCACCCACGCCCCTCTTGGGGTAAAGGGAAGAGACGGCTGAAATTCAGAATAATATATCGTCAATAACACAGTCTTGATTTACATGAAAAAAGCATCACGAAAGTCATGACACGAAATTTTGAGAGAACGCGAGCGCTATTTGTAATTTCCACTGGATTATCGATCGCAGAACGAAGGAAAAAAGACTTTCCACTCCCAGCGCCGCCTGATACAAAGACACTAAAACCATTCAACACTAATTTTTCTACTTTTTTCTGACTCAAACTAAACATTTCTTCGCAATAAACATCATAGATAAAGTGCGAAAATATAACTTCTCTCTTATTGAGGCCACTCGTTTCTAAGGAAACGACTTCAAGCATCAACACAAGCCATATCTCCTAACATCGATTTTGATTGGTTCATCGATGAGCTTTCATTCCCCGAGGTCTTTTACAAGACTCTCGCCGCTTCGCGGCTCGCCTCGCGGCTCGCCTCGGGGCTCATTCGTACTAACCTCTGAAAGTCGCCGCTTCGCGGCTCAACATAGCGGTCAGCGGATAAAAGCAGAAAAGCAACAAGGCGACCCTAAATACGGGAAAGGCGCCTGAAATCAAGCGAAAATAAATTCTGCCGTGCTCCCTTGTGTTAACTTTGCACTCGTGTTCAACTTTGCAGTCGAGGTACAACTTTGCACTCCTGTTACATGAAAAATGCACTCGTTTTCAGCCAATCAGTCGCGGGTGGATATTATTACAATGATAATAGCCTGTTTAGGCGTTCAATTGGAAAAACGAAGCGCGATAGCTGCGGCGGAGTGAAAGAGCGAGGGAAGCCCGTGTCGGGTCGGAAATCACCTAGCCGCGACTATTGCGCCGCGCTGTTTACTATTTCGCTTCGTTTTTACCAACTGAATACCTAGAATAGGCTCTAATGATCTAGCGATTTAAAAAAAGAATGAAAAAAGTAGTCCTAGAGTTGTCATAGCATGTGCTAGATTAAGTTTTCACTTTTTTGAAAACTCCCTTCCCTTGATTATTAAATTCCCAAATGAAAAATCAGATAAAGAGAATAGTATAAAGTAGTAAAGAAAATAGAAAAAAATTCTCACAAAGACGCGAACATTTTCCTTCAGGACCCACATTCAAAAAGACGTCACGCAATTTTAAATCAAATGTATTGCGTGACTCGTCCGGTCTCGTCTAGCATGGCATGCCGCATGGCGTGAGGCATGGCGTGAAGCACGCATATCATGCCTTATTTTTTTCGTCGAGGAAATCCTCACTATCAGCGAAATCAAAGCTACTATTGATGTTGGACAATTTTTCATATTTTCCAGTTGAGATCGTTCTTATCTTGCGTTGACATCTTACTGGTGGAAGACTGTCATTCCTCTTTTTGTGCCAGCTCGCCAATCTCTTCAATGTTTGAAATGTCTGAGTGAAACTGAAAGATTTGGAGATACAATTATTCGGCTTCGCGTTACGTTGATTGCAGGAATCTTTTTCGTCGAAGGAGTCAGTTTTGTTACGTTTTGAATCAGTGACAACTGGACGAGGAATAGTGTTTGGTGGCGCTTCTGGCGGTCGACCGTTCGTAACCAAATCTATCATGTACATCCAGCGATATCTCTGGAATACCGAATCACATTTGAAGGTATAGGTCACTCCATCAGTCACCAACTTAAATCGGAAGCTGTACATTCTTCGTTTTGCTAGAGCACACGTTGATCCTGGGGATATCTCGATAAACTGTTGGAAATTCTCATGTTTTGTCGCCGTTTTCCTCAGTTGAAAATACAGCCCCGTAGCGTTCAGAGTCGTCCAATAAACTCGCCACTTACCAGTGTGATCTTCTTTCTTTAAGAAATCTGCATAGTAGATTTCCATTTCGATTTCCCTCCGTATGGATTGATTATTGGAATGAAAAGAGATCCAAATTCCAATTGAAAGTCGATAAATAGGTTTCGCTTTCATTCGAAGTGCAACCAACTCCCATCAGATCTTGCAGATGTTTTCACGCGTAATTTGAATCCCCAGTGATAAGCGAAAGTGTAGTATCTGATTTGAATATAATTATTTAGGTTACAATTCGTGACAGGCGGTAAAACGATTAAAGAGGGGCTTTGATTATATTTAACAGAAACCCATCTTTCAGCTGCCTGATACAAAATTGAAAGCAAGGACAAACTAGATTTATTGGGCCGAAGATTAAGTAAAACTCATATGAGGTATAAATTATTTGAAAAGTATACGAATTTTACATTTTATATATTCAACTCGGTGACTACATCATTAAATTCTTATATTTTAATATTAGCTACTTCTTAATTCTTAATTTATTTAAATTTATATACCTTCACAAGGCTTTATTATTTCCTTTTCTCTTTTTATTTCGTGGAGTACCTGTAAACTAGCTTTTAGCTAAGCGTTCTGACCACGTTATTGATTGATTGTTGTAAAATATTTGAACTATTCATGTTGTGCATGGCTTGATTTTAGCGACGAATTACGAGGCAATGAATACAATATGTATAATTACAGTGCATATACCTCGTCTGCCCCCCATAAAGAAACTGAAGTAGTTTTTACATTACACACGGTCTGTGATCGTGATTAATAAATACTTTTCAAATCATGACCAAACGATTTCGACTCAAAAAAAGGATTGGAAAGACTGT